ACAAAACACGAGTTTACATACTCGAGTCTCTTGGCGTGCAGAGGAGCTGAATCCTGAACCACCCGCTCCGGACTGCAGGCTTGTTTATTTTCTTTAATTGGGGGGTGTCTCGCCCCGACAGCCTCTTCTGCGCCTCGGTGATCGGTGCTTAGACATGATGAAGTTGTCTCAACAGTTTGTGGTCCAGTGTTTGCATGTAAACAATTGAGAAAAACTGTGATGGAAATCGTGTTGCTCCGGCGTACAATGAAAGTCCAGACAACGGTGGTCTTCCAGCCGTTTGGCAGCACTTTGTGTTTGTGGCTCTCCTGTTTCGGCTCCATGAAGAAATGCTGTCCCCTGTCTGTTGTGGGAGAACTTGAACAAAACCGGTCCAGAACCTTCTGGGAGCACCGGACTCTGCCTACATCCGTGTTGGACCTCACAAATGACCCAGTGGTTGAATGAGAAGGCCCTGCAGGCAGGTTCCAATATCCCACGTTGTCACGATCACATCTTTAACTATCGCATGTTGCACGTGAATATTATTGATTTAAATATTTTTATGTTCTGATCACATTACTCACCTCCACTTCTCAACACGACCGCTGATAGTCTCCCTCGGTGCAGAGCGACCCTCCAGAAGGTGAATAAATGAGTGCATCTGATTGCTTGTTGAGATCATTTTGCTTGTTGGAGTGAGTCTCCAGAGAATCCCGAGGCCTTACTCTGACTTCTTGAGCTTTGACTGCGCAAACAGCACATCCCCACTTTCTGAATGCGGCTTTTATTTCCTCCTGCGTCCTTCACAATCATCTTTTGATTACGCCTGCTAATTAAACCTCCAACAAGCTGCCACCCGAAGCCGCCACCCAGCCTCCTCCTTTAGGTCAGCCGGCTCCCCGAGGAGAGGGAGCAAACAAGGGAGCTGTGAAGGAACACACACAGTCTGTTTTTCTCTGCTTCATCCTTTCTCCACTCCTCTTATCCTCTTTAATCCTGTACCTCTTTATGCTTGTTAAGCTGCTGGAGCAGCGTGGAAGCATAGGGCACGGGGCCAGGGGTCAAGGAGGCTCCTCCAAAGAGGCGGCCCCCTAGCAGTGGTGGTCCAGGTCCTCACTGAAATCAACCGCTGAGGACTTTTCATGAATCCCCTGTTGGAACAAACGCTCGCTCACATTGAGAGCTGCAGCACACAAGGCTTTGGAACAAACAGGACGAAGAGTCCAGACTTGGTAGAAGCTGTTTGTTTAAGTTTAAAGCCTCGCTGCGCCTTGAAGCCTCAGGGTCATTTCTGAATCAAAAATATGTCCCATGAAAACATGTCATAACAGCCTCGACTACCTAGTGAAAGTCAGAAAGAATATGAAGAAATAGATATTTATAAAGTATTACAGATTGACCGTGCACTGATCATTTGCTCTTCTTATAGTCCCATGTGTCAGCCGTGTGCTGTTATTCTGCACCAACACTATTTGCATCATAATGAAATCCATGCAGCTGACCAACACATCGCCCCTGAATTGGCCTTTTCCTTATTGTACAACTGAGGACTCGGGTTCACTTTCCTTCCACTTAGCTTTTTATTTTTTATTTTAACAACTAAATTAGCATGCGTCTTTATCAGAGGAGAGAATGTAATACTTCGTTTTTTGGAGACATCATTTTAAACCTATGTGGACTGAACAGGTCCATTTGGTCTTTACATTTTTATCAGCAGCTAAAACTTGTGACATTTCAAACAACTTCTGCAGATTCAAAGCAAACTCGTACTTCATAGCCACTGATATCCGGAATGATGTGCCTGTGGCGTAAATGTAAAGGAGGCTGGTGGACAGCAGGGAGAAAGAACTGTTGAATAGAGAACGGGAGTCCCACTCAGGGAGGAGGAGGAGGAGGAGGAGGACAGCTGTCCAAACACTGAGCCCTTCTGTACCTGTCTTTAAGCTACCTCCTCCCATCCCTCCAGCCTGTCCTCCCGTAAACCAGCTTACACCACCTACACCAGTGATCCACACTGGTTACTGCTAAACCGATCAAAGTAGAGAGCGTCACATCTGATCAATAAGCGTCTTCCTTTTTTTCCTTTCTGCTCAGGCAATGCTATGATACATTAAAATATTCATTTTTTCAGACAGCTCTTAAATGTTTTGATTATGGGCCACTTTTGGTCTGCCTGAGGGAAATGTCTGCCTGCGTGAGGGCCTTTAAAGCGTCATAGCGCTGGAGGAACTGCAGATAAATGCCTGAGGGTTCGAGGCCATGATGAATCAAACTAACCCCCAAACGATCAGTCTAATACTGATATTCTTATAAAAATTAAACCTTTTTGTACTACCCATGAATGATACGTTCAAATAACCAGAAACCAGCGTCCCAACCCAGTCGTATGAAGTGTTCGCTGAATGGGTAATCAGGACAAGAAAGAAATGTGTGCTACTGTCTGAACGTGACATTTGTCAGGCTTTAGTTAGGCCAGAATGCAGCAGACGATCCAGCGGTGAACTTGTATTGTTGTTGGTTGTAGAGCAAATAGGATCACTGGACACATCGCCAGTAACTTTGAGGGAATTAATGCATTTTCAAGAGGAGGATGAATCTGAAATGTTTTGTGCCATAAATGTTCCTCTGATCAACTACGTATTTATATTATATTTTTATAGATTGTTTTTGGGAAGGAGGGACGAAAGGACACACACACACACACACACACACACACACACACACACACACATATTTACACATACACAGCCCCCCACATGGTTAGGACTTCCAAAAAGACCCTCCCCCCTCTGTCGTTTGTCTTTTGTTCCCCGTCTATCTTTTCTCTCCCCTTGGCTTCTCTCTGGAAAGTATCTCACTTCCTCTCTGTCCTGAGGGACAATGTGTCCCTAGAGAGGAAAAGGACCCCCCGCCGTCTCCCATGGGAACGTATTTGAGAAATAATGTCTACGGTAACAAGCGGGAGTGACAAATCACTTTTTATGGTATTGAATTGCTCCTTGCTAGCGAGCTAAGCTACATGGGAATGTACGAGGCTGGAGCTAGCCAGCCACCAACACGCACTAGAAAGCATGTAACCTGATTATTCCGTATCACACGGTGCTAACCATCACACCGCCGTGCCGCCCGATAATTCATGTTGTATCTCCTTCATTTGGCTTGAAAACATCTAGCTTCTTTTCCCTTTTTTCTGTATGAGATGAATTTACAGCAAACACTCATTATACACAGTTCATTAGTACAGTCATTTGTAAACATGTGGATAATTGGCACTTGTCTGCTTTTTAATAATCCGTCTCTCTCAGAGGAACTTTGTGTTCCTTCTAATTCATTTCCTCACTTGTTGCTTTAATGTGCGCTACGTTCTTGGTCTTTTCTGTGAAGAAATCAACTCGTATCACAGGACACTTAGCTAAACATTAACCTATAACCACAGTCCATTCAGCCTCTCTGTCCCACTATAATCTCAGTCCATTCAGCCTCTCTGTCCCACTATACCCAGTCCATTCAGCCTCTCTGTCCCACTATAACGAGTCCATTCAGCCTCTCTGTCCCACTATAACCAGTCCATTCAGCCTCTCTGTCCCACTATAACCAGTCCATTCAGCCTCTCTGTCCCACTATAACCAGTCCATTCAGCCTCTCTGTCCCACTATAACCAGTCCATTCAGCCTCTCTGTCCCACTATAACCAGTCCATTCAGCCTCTCTGTCCCACTATAACCAGTCCATTCAGCCTCTCTGTCCCACTATAACCAGTCCATTCAGCCTCTCTGTCCCACTATAACCAGTCCATTCAGCCTCTCTGTCCCACTATAACCAGTCCATTCAGCCTCTCTGTCCCACTATAACCAGTCCATTCAGCCTCTCTGTCCCACTATAACCAGTCCATTCAGCCTCTCTGTCCCACTATAACCAGTCCATTCAGCCTCTCTGTCCCACTATAACCAGTCCATTCAGCCTCTCTGTCCCACTATAACCAGTCCATTCAGCCTCTCTGTCCCACTATAACCAGTCCATTCAGCCTCTCTGTCCCACTATAACCAGTCCATTCAGCCTCTCTGTCCCACTATAACCAGTCCATTCAGCCTCTCTGTCCCACTATAACCAGTCCATTCAGCCTCTCTGTCCCACTATAACCAGTCCACTCAGCCTCTCTGTCCCACTATAACCAGTCCATTCAGCCTCTCTGTCCCACTATAACCAGTCCATTCAGCCTCTCTGTCCCACTATAACCAGTCCATTCAGCCTCTCTGTCCCACTATAACCAGTCCACTCAGCCTCTCTGTCCCACTATAACCAGTCCACTCAGCCTCTCTGTCCCACTATAACCAGTCCACTCAGCCTCTCTGTCCCACTATAACCAGTCCACTCAGCCTCTCTGTCCCACTAAAACCAGTCCACTCAGCCTCTCTGTCCCACTATAACCAGTCCATTCAGCCTCTCTGTCCCACTATAACCAGTCCATTCAGCCTCTCTGTCCCACTATAACCAGTCCACTCAGCCTCTCTGTCCCACTATAACCAGTCCACTCAGCCTCTCTGTCCCACTATAACCAGTCCATTCAGCCTCTCTGTCCCACTATAACCAGTCCGTTCAGCCTCTCTGTCCCACTATAACCAGTCCATTCAGCCTCTCTGTCCCACTATAACCAGTCCATTCAGCCTCTCTGTCCCACTATAACCAGTCCGTGCAGCCTCTCTGTCCCTGATAACCTGTCCGTGCAGCCTCTCTGTCCCACTATAACCAGTCTGTGCTTGCTTGGCGGTGCATTAAATTGGTGATTAAGTAAATCCACCTTTTTTCAAATGATGTCCACACTTTTCGTCCACACTTTCCTTTGCGTTTGAACAGTACATGTTACCTTCCACCTTCTCTCCTGCATCCCAGTGTGTGAATGGGGCTGTTAGTGACGGTCGGACAGAAGCCCAGTGGGAAATGTGATGTGTGATTATTGAGCCCTCTCCCCTACATACGTTACTCACTGTTAAAACTTGTCTCCCCCCTGCGTGTCCTCAGGTTGTTTGCCACCAAATGCAGTGGCTGTCTTGAGAAGATCGCACCCACAGAGTTCGTAATGCGAGCTCTGGAGAGCGTTTACCACCTCAGCTGCTTCTGCTGCTGCGTCTGTGATCGCCAGCTGTGCAAAGGAGACGAGTTTGTTCTGAAAGGAGGTCAGCTGCTTTGCAAGAGTGACTATGAGAGGGAGAGGGACCTGCTCAGCGCAGCCAGTCCAGACAACTCGGACTCAGGTGACGTTGGCGACAGCGTCGCAGGCTTTTACCAACAAAACGTTTTAAAAAATGAATCCGAATTAAATCTGTTCGTTTATACCCGTGTGGTTACAGAGAAGAGTGAGGATGAAGACGTGGATGTGAAGTCAGAGAAGTGTCCTTCAGCAGGGAGAGGAAGCGGCGATAGCAAAGACCCTCGCCGGCCCAAACGGCCACGGACCATCCTCAACACCCAGCAGAGGAGGGCCTTCAAGGCCTCCTTCGAGGTGTCCTCCAAACCCTGCAGAAAGGTGGGACATTTGATTCATTGTGTCTCTAATTGAGTGAAAATAACGTCTGTCTGATCTTTGGGAAATACAAACTCAGGTGTATTCTGAATCCCCTGTTGGCATAAGTGAAAATAAGTGTGTCTCTGCTGTGACTTGCAGGTGAGAGAGACGCTGGCAGCAGAGACAGGACTCACTGTGCGGGTGGTCCAGGTCTGGTTTCAGAACCAGAGAGCAAAGGTCAGTGTACCCAAAACGTTCTCCCCGTCTCCCAAATCACCAAGTACCGCTGCGTGGTCAGTGGCCTCCGTGCTCATTTTGGGACGGCCTGAAATCTCCAATGAACTTCCAACATATAAGTTAACTTTTGGTGTCCCACAAGGTTTGTCAGAAGAAGAGGATTTTGGCAGGTCCAGCAAGTTGTGCTACCTAACGTGTGACATCACAATGCTGGCAGAAGTGATGTCATTATCCAGATCTGGATTACATGTGAAATGGGGACCTGATGCTTTTTTTTTGCCAAAAGTGCTTAATTGTCTAAACCAGTTAAGCTCCAGTGGATCAAGAATTTATAATCTACTATTTGTTTGGCTTGGTGGCATTTGAGAGAATAAGCTCATCAAAGTCAGAATATCCAAAAGGCCGTTTACTGAAGTCAGTTTTCAGTCTATTAGCAAGTCACATAGTCTGCAAAATATCACAATAAACGCTGAACAACGGATGAAGATTGATTGTGATTTAATGATCACGGTTCAACCACTTTTCTTTTGTCAAAAAAGATAATCGATCAAATGTCGTGGAATTTGTTTTCAGTTGGGGAGAAAGACTCGTGCAATGATCAAACAAAGAGACGCTGAAATCAGACTGGAATTAGTGCGTCTGTGCCTGAAATAAGCAGCATCCTTTGAGAAACTACCAGTGTACCTACAAGCAGCTCCATGTGTTTAAAACAACAATGGCGGCTCCTAAAAAGGCGGCGTGGCTGCTAGCATCAGTTGTGTTGGAGCCGCGACCGACAATACTTTTGTCCTTCATACAAGTTTGTCTCAGAACCCCAAATAAAAAGATCTTGCTCCGCCTTAACTGAAATAGACTGATAACGGTTGCAGCAATAAAAATATCAAAATGCCAATTCGTAACAAACGTGAATTTAAGATATTTTCAGTCCGGCTGCAAGATGACAGGCAGGTCATTTTATAGCTGTTTTCTGAATGGAGATGGGATCCCTTAGTGTTTGGCTGCAGTAACATTCTACCTGCTCCATCAACACTCAACACGACATCATCTCGGCATAGATACAACATTACTCCCCGCTTGCTTCCCTGCAAAGAAAGATGCATGCACACCGTTTTGTCTGGGTTCTGCACAGACATGAGTTAACGGAGATCTATGGCTGCCCATCAGAACCCACCATCTACCCACTTATCACCGCTTCAACCACCACGCCAGGACGTCAGGGATGTCAGGACATATTTCATCTACAAATAATATGTGAATTACCTGAATTCCAGGCATTCATTCATTGAATGAACTGGAGTGAATTCATGTCTCTGCATCTTTTCATTGTCTTTGAATGTAATCCCAGCTCCGTATTGCTTAGGACGGCTTAAATGCAATATACTTGTATGTACGACTTTAACTCATAGGTTTACCTCAGTGTTTCTTCATCCAAAGAACAGCGCTATTGGCTTTCTTCTGTTCAATCAACTTGCTTTGGCAAGAGTTTGATTGACAGATGGTTGATCCAGTCACCTGCCAAGTATCTTCCTAAAGGGTCCGCCCTTTCCCAAACTGTTTCCAGTGACTGGCGTCTCAGATGGTTGTGTGTAACCGCAGCCATCTGGCGCGGCAGGTTAGTCGAGCACCATCGTTGTTTGAAACACGTCCGTGAGCCACACTGTTGCACCGGGTAACATGTTGCTTCATTACCACGAGCACACACGCTCCTGCTGCGACAAACGCGCACTGCAGCACCAAATGTGCATTGATCTGCTGCCGGAAAAAAAATCCCCAACAAATGCACTATTTCCTCACTTGAGTGACGTTCATTGAATGACCAGCTGCAATTACAACAAAGTGCTGAGAAAACATTTAAAGTGTAATACATCTTCAGTGCGAAGCGATGGGATTGGGAAACATGGTAGGAAAGTGTAACCACACACTTCAATGAATTATCTTTTGGTTGCCTGGAATAAGCCTTGTGGTTGTGCTTAATGTCATAAAATACGTCAGTTCATATCACACTGTTGACTTGTTAAATTCGTCTTCTGGTTTTTGAAATGGAAAGACATCCAGGTGGGCTTACAAATATACATCCTGCAATATTCTATCGATGATGTTTTAAGTCTCGTAATTCATGTCGCTCCTCGTGCAAAAGCCACATATAATTCCTGCTGTTCATCTGTTTACAGATGAAGAAGCTAGCCCGCAGACAACAGCAACAGCAGGAGCAACACAGCGGCCAGAGGCTCAGCCAAGGTAAAGGGAATTATCTGTGCGTACATACTGCACACTGCCTGGAAGAATTCGATGTCCATCGGCATGATTTAATCTGCCCATTTTAAACGTAACGGCGGTGATTACGGAGAGCTACGTAACTCGTGAATTATTTGGAGAAACAGCTTGAAACATTACATTCATTAGAGAAGCAATAAACCGAGTGGAGTCAGTCGGCAAACGCTTCCAGTTTTGTAGGCTTTAGAACGAGTCCCGCACTCGGAAGCCAGAGTTGCATCTCCGCGGGTAAATATCCCTTTTCCCCGTCAGTGGAGCTATAAAGTGAGGGACGCAGCCGGGATCCTGGCTGCGGCACAGCTCCTCATAGCCGAGGGCTTATTGCCGCTGTGGTCTCCCAGCGTATATGAGCACACAGTTTAGATAAGTGTCTCAGTGCTTTGGCAAGCACGGCCTCTATCTGTTCTGGGACTTCCTGCGTGTCAATATTGGCATAGCAGCAGGGTTTATTATAGTGGAAAATGCTGTTGTTAACCAAATGAGCTAAGCAAACCAGAAAACGGGGGGGTTGTTTGACATTGATGTTAGGATGAGATGAAGCCTCACGGATGACTGGTGAGATATCTTCAAGATCAAACAGCCAGTCAGTTTATACAATTCATTTACAGTATCAGTTCTTATACGAGAGCCGTTTGTTGTGCAGCATTCATGGTCCCGTGTGGTCATTAAGTAGCCGTAGAGCAACTAACGTTATATTCCACAACGCCACAAACAGTTGATTTAATTAGTTTATTATGTGGGACTAGACCTTCTAGCCCATTGATGCAGCTGGCTTCACTGATCCAAAGCTGTTAGTCGGAAGGAGGTTCGGGGGAAAATGGATGGTGACGCCTGTAGCTGAGAGTTGTAACCCTGCTCCCATTTATTGCATCTAACTGTTACAGAGAGGATGTCGGGCTGTATGGAGGGGCTGCTCAGCTCCTACTCAGGGCATCTAGCTCCCAACCAGCAGCAGCAGCTGGTGACCATGGAGCACGGTGGCTACCACACGGACCCCTTCCAGCAGGGCCTCACGCCACCACAGATGCCCGGTGACCATATGAACCCCTACGGTGAGCACCGCTCTCCTCCACGGCTGGACCCGCTGCCTTGCTCTGAGACACGTTGACCTGTCCAGGTGTTTCCCTAAGCTGCCCCCCCGGTGCATGCTGGGAAAGACTGTGTTTAGTTCCCTGAACTAAAGGTTTTTGAGAAAGCAACATCCTTCAATCTGGTTCCATTAAAGGCAGCAGCAGCAAAAAGAGAGTCTAAGCTGACCTGCAAGGACCTCGTTCTTGATATCTGGAGCAGAAAAAATAATAAAGCTAAATAAATGTAACACTAGCCCGTCATTATATGTATGTATATACTTGCTAGCTGCTGGTATTCGCTGTAGGAACCTCGTCAGTGCAGGCAGCCAAGGCCCATTCTATTACATTAAACTATTCAACTTGCAATGTGTTTATATATTTTATGTGGGCGTATTACAAAAAAGCAACAGCTCGCTGAAAGAAGTAACATGGAAGCAATCCAAAAGGGAGCTATTTCCAACCGCAACACCCTGTGTTAGCTTTTTCTTGAATGTGCTGGACGGTTGAGTCTCTGATCAAACACATTTCCACTCAGATGCACGAGTCTGTCGGCTTGTTGTGCAGCTCGTCCCTCCGACGCCTTGAAGCTGTTGTGTCTGACTGTTTCTTCTCCGCTCTTCGAAGGAACCGACATCATCTTCCATGACATGGACAGCGACACCTCTCTGGCGAGTCTGAATGACGGCTTCGTGGCCCCCGCGGACGTAAGCTCCTCGCATCGCGGGGCGGGGAACCCCATCGACCGCCTGTACTCCATGCAGAGCTCCTACTTTGCCTCCTGAGAAGCCGCCGTCGCCATCGGTACCGCCCAGCCCGCTGCGCCGTGGTCCCCCCCCCGGGGGGCCACAAACAGGCGAGCCTGCATCGGAAGGGACACGAGACACATGTCCCGTGAGACATGAGTCAGTAAGGAGGCAAATGTGGCTGTAAGACCAAACCCACCAAATGTAACGGAGCGAGCGCCGCCCGCCAGAGGAAAGGGAAAAGCACCCGCTGTCTGCGCAGGAGTCTGGAAGACGTGGGCCTCCATCTTCATTCTGTTTGGATGTTGACCTTTGTACACATATGTGGACGTGTTTAGTGCTATGAAAAGTTTGGAAATTGAGTCAAACTGTCACAGGAACATTAGGCTGCGTGTTTCTCAGTTTAATAGGTAATTTATTTTAATGGGACAATCAGGAAAATGTAGTTTTGGTGATGTGACGTAGTGCCAAGCTCTTCTTGTATAAACACGGAGTGAGCCAACTGATTGATACCTGTTTCAGAATGTAAATAATGTTCTTCAGACACATCCACTTTTGCATGTTAGGATAACCAGCGGTTTATTTAATTCTCCCCCATGTACTGTTATACAATAAATCAAGCTATTCTATTTAAAATAAGGCAATAAGATCACATTGTTAAGTGCAAAAAAACTTCTTACCTAATTTGTTGATTTGATTCTGCTATTTATCATGTTATTTGAATTGTTTAGTGAGTGTAAATTAATATTGCTTTGCTATTTATTTTTCCATTTCAATCATAGGGATATTGTCGTACGGGCATTTTAGATTTGCTAACTTATCAAAAGTGTTGGTGCTTAAATAAAAAGTATGAAATGCATTCTCTCGAGTTCTTGTCTGTTGTTGAATTCCATGATAAATGAACAATGGCAGGACAGCTCAGCGGGCCTTGAGCGGGCGGTGCTCTAATGGGAATATCGATGCCCAGCTCCTGATGACAGGTTGAACCCTCGGTGTCAATCACACAAAGTGCACAGAGCTGTAATGACGTCCGTCTACCGTCCGTTTACAGTGATACATTCAACAAAGAAGAAGTTCGACATTGCAGTGTCACATATTCCATCCAACTGTGTCCTCAAACAATGACATGACAACATCTTACATAGAGTTATTATATAAAACTGCATGCTGTATGGATTCTGTGGGTGAGAAAGCTTCATGGAGGATTAGCAACAAACAAAGTTTGCTTACTTGACATAAAACAGGTCAAAAATCATTTTGATATTTCAAGCGTAAAATAATTGGTCACGTATTGAAACCATTATATGTCCCGGCTTCAATTAAAGAGAAGAAATATTACATATAAGCAAGAACACTGCACATAACCATGACCACCTACTAACTTAAACCCAATGTAATGCAATATAACTAATAGAAATGAAATACGAATAGAGTAGAGCGCACGTGTTGTGGTGGTGAGCACGCTCGTCCTCCCTGTGGGGAGTCTGCATGTTCTCCCCGGGTGTGCGTGGGCTTTCTCCCAGTCACACAGTCACGCACAGACACGCATGAGATGTTCCTTGGTGACTCTAAAAAGTAGCACGTAAGTGTATAAATGGTAGAACGAATGATGGTCTACAACAATGGGAATAATAACAGGACAGGAGAGAATGACAGGAGACAGCCGTGAGGTGAGTTCAATGGTTCATTGACACCATAATGGAAGCAGACGGAGATATGAGGAATCGGCAGGCAGATGATCAGGATGGAACGTAGACAGGACGGTAGTCCGAGTTCCAGGTTACGGACTGGAGGAGATTCCCTTACAGCGGCCGGTAGGGATTCAGGCACGTAGCGTTGGAGTCTGTGGTGTCCTGTAGAGACGAGACCAGACACTGAGTGTGTGAAGAGCAGCCAGATGTAAAGGGAGGTGAACTGATGAGGTGACGATGATTAGAATTCAGGGGACTGTGAACGAGTGGGAGGAGTGAGTGTGTACTAAGTTAGTGTGCGAGTCCCTGCATGACGGGTGTGCATCTGCTTCAGCACTCATGTGTTGGGGTGGAGCAACTATAGAATCCTCAAGCCCCAAAAGAAATCCTGATGTCTCAATGTAAATTGAGGGGAGATGTTCACCGGCTGGATGGAAGGAAGCAGAATGGGTGGATGAGACGGAGGACGGCAGGGAGGGACAGAGCCAGGCTGCAGCGCGTGAGGAGAGAAAAACAAGTGAAGAAATCACAGGAATCAGTGGTTGACTTTTGGCCTGAGGTGTGCAACACGGTGAGACGCGAGGCGACACCTGGCCGGCTCCTCAATCACCCCGACAGCAGAGCTGCTCGCCATTTTAGCCCCACCTCGTTTCTCCCAAAGCTGCGCCCGAGATCTGTCTCGATAAGCAGCGGCTTTTTCTCACAGGCGGTTTGTTCCCCTGGCGCCCAGTGCAGGTGAGAAGCCTGCCGCAGGAGGGCCCTCCATTCCCCAGCAGGCCCCCCCTGAGGTAACAGCTGGCCAGTGATGCTGACCCTAACTGTACAGAAGACACTAAAGTAGTCTAGGTTTTGCATATCAGGTGTGTTTTTCCGTGCAAGGACATGTGTTCTTCCACAGCGTGACTTCATCATGAGTACTTTCTCACAGAAAGTAAATAATACACAATAGCCAAACAATATTTTACAGCTTGTTGCTGTATGATGTTCCGATATAAAATATGTTGATTTCTATTACTATTCTAAGTGACCCGCAAAATAATTCCCAGAATGCCCAAGTTAAAAAGGATGCAACCCATGAGTGTTGTAATTTGAGATGCAGTGGTGCTGTTCCTTTGCATCTATTAATACTCTGGAATATATGAAGAACCCAAACACGGACCCAGAGAGGCACAGATTCCCAGCTTTGACACTATTTTGCCCATCTTCAATGTACATTCACATACATCGAGAAGAAACAGTGTGAGAAGCCTCTTTCCTCTTTCGATGTAGTGCAGTTCAAAGAAACCCCAAAAAAGGGAAGAAGCACCTCTCTGTCAGCGAGGACCTCTGATTTGTATTAGATTGGACTGGATTGGATTTTAATGCAAAGAGGTCTCATGTTTCATTAGAAAACACAAAACAATCAAAATAAGCGGTGTAGATTAGGGAGATGGAATCATAACAATGTCTTCGCACGCAAAAATGTAAGCAGAGAAACACACAACCGGCCGTAGCTGCAGAGCGTCTGTGTGTTTGGTGTGTGTTTGGTGTGTGTTTGGTGTGTGCGGTCGATGCGACTGACCAATGAAATGTTACACTTTGCTTAAATTCTGACCCTGGGCCTAATGGCCCTCGGTGTTCTCACTTTGTGACCCGGAGACATTTGATCCCTAAACTCACAGCATACACACCTGCAGCTACACACACTCCTTCCGGCAGCCCAGACAGGTTCTGCAAACCCTCACACCCCACATTTGAATCCAGCGTTCTCTGAAGACGTGATTTCCCTTCTGCAAAAGGCTTGCGTGCATTATTTGGTCGACTAGAAAGTACGCCAGGTTCTCTCGCCTCTCGACCGGGTTTCACGACCGACAAGACAGCAACAATATTTACCCGCCGCGCAGCGGATCCTGGCTCCTCTGCATGTGCTGTGAGTGAGCACGAGGGGAATAACTCCCGTTTGTTCCGCTCCGACGAGCTGCAGGGCGAAAGACAAACAGCTGCCTCTTGACAAACAATTGATCATAAAAAGTTGACGCGTATACACGGCAGCACACAAAGGCAGCTCATGGTTTGAGTTCAGTCAGGTGGAAGGTACAGAGGGAGACAGATGTCAGGGGCTTTCTGCACGATGAGACCTGCCACCCAACAACGCTTGGCCTCTGCGTTACCGGCAAACACTTCTCAGGTGATTCAGAGGCCGAGGTGAGAAGACGTGCTCGCAGAACTCCACGCTGGCGTTTCATCAGACAACTCGTGAGCGGAAGTAACATCGTGTTTCTCATTACCAACTGACACGTCACCACTCAGTTAGGTTTTCTACATTGTTTTGTAGCTTTGTTGTGTTTTCTTGGCTGGATAATTGTCTCCTCCGACGGTTCACCTCTGTGAACATTTGATTTATATAGTGAAGTTGCCAAGAGAAAAATGTTCACATTCACCCATTCACACACAGGGCTCAGGGCTACAATGCACCTGCAATTCAGACTCATTAATGTGGACCAGAAGAACCGGGACTGGAAACCAGTGATCATTAGAGGACCCGCTGTGAGAGGTACGTGGTATAATATGGAAACTGCTGATTGCATCCCATGTAAACGTGACTTCAATCATTAGCGATCCCGATCCCACTGAGATACATTTATTCATATCCAGTACCTGCTAAAGCCAGTGGGACACAGCCAGTGACAATGGTTGATATTAGCAGTATTATAAGAAATATAAATCTGGCCTTTTTTCTCAAATTTTAATCAATTATGCATCCAGCCGCACTACACAGGTGCCCGATTCACACAGACCAGAGTTCTTTTGGAAGCAGCAGCGCATGTACCAACGCATTTCAGTGCGATTAGCGCGTACGTTCCCCAGCAGTCAACCCTATAGCTGCACAACGAGGTGCTGGTCCGAGGCAAGCCTGAGCCAGCCCTACCAAAGAGGAGCGTCTACTGGTAACTGCGGAGAGGAGTTCTTCCGCCCTGACTGGAACTGGAAACTGGTTCGACAGGTGACTTGCTTGATTTATGTATAAGTATATATGTAGAGACTCTAGGAAACCCAAGTGTTCTGGAGGCACACGTGTTGGTTGGATAAAAGTGAGCCATATGAAGCTTCATGAAGCTTGATCAATATATCGGTAGTTGCAGCGTGCTTCCAACAAATATGGCTTTATAAAAGTGGAATCTCTCCAAGCACCAAAAACAACTTCATGGCACATTGCACTTTTATGCGTGTGAAAGATTAATCTTTAACATCGACACAAATACAAGACTTAAATCAGCTCTGGGGGGGTTTCTTTGATGTGAACTACATGTCCAAATATCTGATGTGACGACCAATGGAGTTAAACGCCTCACAAAGATCCAACACGACAAGTGCAGACACCAGCGTTCTGTGTGATGCAATCAGAAGCTCGTTCAGGACTTTCCCCGGTGCAATGATTCCCTCCATACCCCGGTGACCAAAGAGGAACTCGTGTAGACTGAACAGAAATAGATGCTGCGGTGAAGAATCGGGTGAGATTTGACTGTCAGACACCAGTGAGGGCACATCTGTAAGTTTGATTTCCCTCACAGGAATTCTAATCTTCACACACGCCACATTCTTGGCGCCGCGCTGTGAACACGAGATTAAAGGTGAGCGTCGGTTGCTGGAGGCCCCTCCGAGCGTCGCTCGGGGGGGCCGCCGCACTGAGCTGTGAGACGGCTTCTGACAACGCTCACTCGCACCGCGCGTCTTATCCCTGGCTAATCTGACATCACAGGTGTGAGCAAACAGAGCAGTCAATCTGGACGAGCCGCCACGAAACTGCTCCCCCCCCCGGGGGGGCAAGTGGGCTGTCGAAAGCAAACGTGCTGTGACCTCTGACCTTAAGACGGTGTCAGACACGCAGATCTGGAAACAAACTCACTTTCAGCTCAGGTCTGTAACCTGTGGCCCTCAGTCACATTGCTGCCATACTTTCACGCACTTTGGAGAAAAGCACTGATTTAGTCTCAGACGGCTGAATGGCCCCCAGAGGGCAGGTAGTCGTGTAAGCTCTTCTGATGCCCCCCCCCCGCCCTTCCAACCAACTGTTGGAATTTATTTTTTATTCTCTTTTGAGTGGACACACAATGGTGGACCGTGTCATTTCGTTTTGACGAGAGACACATTTTCATAGTATATCTGATCATTTTCTGCTACTTGCCCC